CTTTAGTGCATTTATCCCACACTTCTGGGTGGAGAATATCCACCGGCTGGTCAATGCCCCAATTTGTAAAAGCTTCGCAACTGCAAGGGTAAAATCTTTGGCTTTACAATCAATCCCCCACTGCTTATGTATTTGGGATACGACCTTCACAAGGGCTTCCATCCTCCTTGTTGGTCCTGGTCCGGGAGCGTCCTCCCCTGACCTCCCCCGCCTGCTACTTTTGCCTCTATATATCTGGGATTTTCACAGGTCTACTTTTCCATTGTGCTTTGATCTTTCCCACATCAGGGCAGGAAGCTCAAGGATGTTCAATAAGGTGCCTCTGTGTTTCTCACAGGCCTCTGTTATCTAAGAACAGACATTCTACCTGTCAAGCACACAGAGGTAAACCACAATTAGTGTGATATATGTGTTTTTTGGCACCTCAGCTGCAATTCACTTGAGCATATTTACAACCCTCCTCGGCAATTTTCCATTATATTCCCACAACAGGGCAACCTAATAAAAGCCAACAGCTACCTGCAGAGATGGTAGAGCCAAGCTCTCTTCTGCAGTGGCCAATGATATGACAGGGGCACCAATCACAAACTACCTTTGGGGAGCTCTAGGCTGAGCCTTAGGAAAAATAGAATGAACTAGGAGGAGCATTGCTGTGATCTCCACCTTTGGAGCGCTTCGGGTTTCAGCTCTACAAAGTTGAAGCCAGCCTGGAGGCTGGACTAGAAACCCCTAGAAGTCTCTTCCCCACCAATCCTTCCATGATCCTGTGCCTTGCAACATGCCCTACAAGAAGAGACTAAGATGGAGGTGAGGGCCTCTATGTCATAGGACAATTCAGGGTAAAAGGGAGCTCAGGAAGCCTCGAGTCCAATGACCAGCTCAAAGCAGGGCCAGCTCTGAGGTCAGACCAGGTAGCTCGGTAAATGTCAACGTTCACATAGATAGTTTACACATGAGCCAGGCATCTAAGCCACCATTACAGAAACAAAGATGAGACATTTGACCAGCTCCCTGAACACAGCTATCAGTATGCCATCCCTCCTGAGATTCCTGGGAACGTCCACCTTCTTGTGCAGAAGATTCTTCTGTAAGGTTCCTGGCACATCTCCAGATCAGGGGGTGCTCTAGGCCATAAAAAGGAAAGAATGTCTGACTTGGGTACTGTCAACTTAATTACTAAAAGAGAGGGAGATGGAGGGATCTCAGAGCTTCCATGTTGCTGCTGAAGATTTAAGCCTCTGAGAAAGGAGCTCAGAATGAAAGTTTTGAGCTAACATAGCTTTTTGATCATTTCACTTGTGAAGGCTCTGCTCCCCACATCCAGTCACTGGTACCCAGGAACCTGCCCTGCTTTTCCTTCTTCTCCTCCCCAAACCTGATCAAGTGATGGGAAGAAAGGAAGTAGAAAAGCCCTAGGCCTCTGTGAATCAGCGGGGGTCTGGCACTTGGAGGCCACAGTGTCATTTCATTGTACACCCCATAAAGAACTAAGCTGGGAAGTGAGACTGAAAGCCCAAATCAACAGGGTTCATTGACAGGCAAGGCTGTGTCCACAGCTGGTCTAGAAAACCAGTACACCTACCACATAGATCAAGTTGGTGTTGAAACTCTGGCTTGGGCTTCAATGGTCTCCTGGGCCCAGGGACAGAGGTGTGGGCCCAGACCCGAGGTTGGGCTGGCCAGGGCCGATGGAGGCCTATGGATGCTCTCAGTGCCCTGACACTGCGCCCACGGGATCCCCCCTGACAGTGCCCTCGAGAGGCCAAGTTCTCCTTCCCTGAAGTCCAGGGCCTGTGCTCTGCTCCTCTCCTTCCCCACGTCCCTGGGGATCTGGGAGACCAGGATTTCATGGTCACGCCCTGACAATGGTATTCACATCCCTGACCAGCTCTTTTGGGAATACCAGGTCCAGGTGAGCAGACTGAAAGGACTATTTGCCATCTGTGCTGAGAATATTTCCACAAACACCACAAGAAACGTCCTGGGTGGTTTGCATGCTGCTGTCCCACATGAGCAGTGAATACCAAGGAAACTGTGTCCTCCAGAAGAGCCAGGTTGTGTGATCCACTGATTTCCTGCGATCATTCAATTAAGACATTGTTGACTCCTCACCCTCGCTGTGTGATCTGTAAATGGCTGGGATGGAGTTGATTTTCTTCATAGCAGCCCATAGGGTGATGTGCTTTGGATTTGTTATTAAACCAGCACTGATAACACAACAGTGTTTTGGCTGTTGCTGAACAGTCCTTGCAGAGCATGAAGGCTTTCACTTTTTCCCACTCTGCCCCTGCAGCAAGTAGGCTGGGGGTACACAAGAAGTTGGCAGGGGCACAGCTGGGACAGCTGACCCCAAAGGACCGAAGAGATTTTCCATTCCATATGATGTCAGGCTCAGAAAACAAAACAAAACAAAACAAAACAACAACAACAACAACAAAAAAAAAAAAAACAACAAAAAACCCCATTCAATAAAAAAAAAAAAAAAAAAAAAAAACCAAACAAACAAACAAAAAAATTGAAACTCAATGAAAAAGGAAAAATGGGAGATTTTCGTAGTTGTGGCAGTTGTCTTCCCAAGCCCTGCTTTCCTAGCAATGACTAAACATCTGCTGCTGATGGGACATAGTGCATGAACTCCCCATTTTGCTTTGCTTGCACACGCAGATATTGCTTCACCTATTAAACTGTCTTTGTCCTGACCCATAAGTTTTCCTGCTTTTGCACTTCCAATTCCCTCCCCTGTCCTGCTGGGGTCGTGGGAGGCAGGGGACAGTGAGCAAATGACTCTGTGGGTGCTTAGCTGCTGCCTGGGGTAAACCAAACAGAACACCTACCACAGTGTCATCATTTCTGGTATCTCCTTTGACCCACACACATCTCGATCCATGAGCTTTCCCTCTTGTCCTGTTGAGTGGGCTGAGTGAGTGAGCAGCTGGGTGGCTGTCTAGCTGCTGGTCAAAGTTAACACACCACAGGGCCACATCAGGACTGCAGTGTCCAGTATGGGGTTCCCCAGCACAAGAAAGATCCTGACAGACTGGAGCGAGTCCTGCAGAGGCCAGAAGGATGGTTGGGGCCTGGAGCACATTATGGACAAGGACAGGCTGAGAGAGCTGGGGTTCTGAGAAATCCCTCAGAGCCAAACACTGCAGCAAGGACCCAGGCCAGTTGGTGGGATCTCGCTCAATGGATATTTTCAGTATTTGTCAAGACAAGCCCATCAGCACCTGATCTAGCTGGAGCTGTCTGAGACGGGGCTTGGCTGAGAGACCGGCTGTGGCAAGAGCTACGGGACTTGTTGCGTAATGAGTGTCAGTAGGAAACTGGTTTCCTTTTTATTAATAATGGTGGTAAAGTTGGGTATCATTGGTGTTTCCTCTTCCAGGACTTTTCCAGCCCAGCCCAGCCCCAGCCCAGCTCTCCCCACCTACCCTGGCCCCAAGGCAGTACCCACCACAGGGTGCTGCAATACTCTGGGCACTCAACCACAGCTCCAGCTCCTCAGAAGGGCACAGCAGCTCCTGGAGGTCAGACAGGGGTTCAGCCTTCCCACAAGCACCAGGGATGATGCTGGCCAAAAGGGCAGGAGGAAACAGAGGCCAGTCAGTCTCTAGCTCTGCTGCATTCATCCGGTAGGTTGTCCCTAACCTCGACTGCATTTACACGCTTCCCTTCCCCCACCAGCCCTGCTCCCCAGCACAGAACAAGAGTCCTGGCCCTGGGCCTCCTCAGGCAGCTCCTGCACCTCTCCCGTCTCCCTTTCCCATGCTCACTGGGTTCACACTGACCCCCAGGGCACTGCAGAGTCCTTGCTTGCATATACCTTGATTTAGTGCTTTGCTTTTGGGGGACGTCAACTTCGAGGGTGTTTCACTTTGTGTGTGTCCATTCCTTCCCACCCCAGGGCATGTGGTGACCCCTACTCCTCTCCTGACCAAATTATTTTCCATAAAGAGAGCTATATGCCATGAGTCCTGGCATATATGAAGCAGCCTGAGGAGGTAGTGGGGAGCTCATGTACCATCTTACACCAAGAAGAGAACCTTTAAAAGCTGAACTCTTTGTCCAGTGGAACCCAATGGTATTGTGAGCTTAACTCCAGACACAGGGAGAACATAAGGAGAAAAGATTTTTTAAAAGACCAATTCCTTAGACATTTTATTGGCAGCCACTTTGGAGGAAGAACCTAGCCTTCAGGCACTGCACTCAGGAGAACCCATTTTATTCAAGAGCTGCTATTGGACACGTCACATCTGACACAGTGTGGTGCAAGAGTCAGACACGGCAGGAAAAATCCTCAAGAGAAGTAGTATAAATCCAGAAAATTATCTATATGTAGGATTATTACAGGGAGAATAGCAGACTCCTGGCCTAAGATAAACTCTGGGAAATGTGAAGTGACTTGAGACAGGTTGTTGTCAGTGAAACTACATCCCTTGGGTCAGTTTCCATAGGGCATCCTTGAGCTGCTGGTTCCTCGTGCTGTAGGTGAGGGGGTTCACTGCAGGAGGCACCACCGAGTACAGAACGGACAGCACCAGGTCCAGGGTTGGGGAGGAGATGGAGGGAGGCTTGAGGGAGGCAAAGATGGCAGTGCTGAGAACCAGGGAGATTATGGCCAGGTGAGGGAGGGATGTGGAGAAGGCTTTGTGCCGTCCCTGCTCAGAGGGGATCCTCAGCACGGCCCTCAAGCTTTGTGCCTAGCACAGTGCAATGAAAACAAGGCAGCCAAATGCAACAAAGACAGTAACCACGATAGCCGAACTTCCCTGAGGTAGGAGTCTGAGCAGGCAAGCTTGAGGATTTGGGGGATTTCCCAGAAGAACTGGTCAACAGCATTGCCTTGGTGGAGCGGTATTGACAATGTATTGGCTGTGTACAGCACAGCATAGAGAAACCCACCGCCTCAGGCAGCTGCTGCCATGTGGACACAAGCTCTGCTGCCCAGGAGGGTCCCGTAGTGCAGGGGTTGGCAGATGGCAACGTAGCGGTCGCAGGCCATGACGGTGAGGAGAGACTGCTCAGCTGACATAAAAAAGAAAAAGAGCTGAGCCACACACCCTTGGCAGGAGATGACCCTGGTGTCCTGCAGGGAATTGACCACGGATTTGGGAACAGTGGTGGAGATGGAGCCCAGGTCAAGGACTAAAAGATTGAGGAGGAAGTGAGAGAAGGCCTAAACTATTTCTCTTGTTTAGAGCAAAAAGGTTGTTTATGGTAGAATCCTAGCTGGTCAGCATATTCTACTCGTATTATTTTCTTCCTTTCACTCACATAGTTTAGTCAACTCCTAGGCAGAATTAATATCAAGGTGTTTTGAAATATGCAACTTCTCCCTCAGAAAATTTAAGTAGGCCTTCAGATGGTTCATTCAGTTTCCTGAGTATCCCTGATAACAAGGGCCTGAGACGCCAGTGTCAAGATAATCACCTGGGAATTAGTTTAAACTGACCTTCTTGGAGCATGCCAGGGCCAAAGAATGGATGAGCTAACTGCATGACCATATGTGGGCAAAGGAATCCCAAAGTTCAATCACCGGACACTGTGAGGAAGACTATGAATGACCACCAGAGGGGGAAAAGACCCTAACCCTAATTTTATCACACATGATCAGACTATGTAGATAAATTTTAGGAAATCTTATGTAGATGTAGATTAGTTCTCAGAAATCCACTGAATATGTACAAGCTCACAGCATATATTCTCTGTGATTGTACCTGTCTGTGGGAGCACTCATGGTGGAGTGATCCCTAGTGCTGTCCAGCGCTGCTAATAAAGAATACCTGCTCAGCAGTTCTACTGGATTCTAAGTGTTGAGTGAATTTCTGTGTCAGAAGGAGCAGACCCTGCGGCCCTGGCTGGAGCAGTCGGGGTGGGGGTGGCTCGGGGGCACCGCAGGGATGTGCCCGGGCTCGGCTCCAGGAGGAAACCACAGACTTCCTGCCTGGGCGCTGTGGGGGGAGCGCGAGGAGCGCTGCGAGGCCACGTGGGCTGTGGTTTGTGCACCTGCATGCTGCAGCTCCCGAGCCCCCCGCGGGGAATAACGGCCCCTCGGTGACATGCTGAGAGTCAGAGATCTGTCTGAGCTGCTTGTCTGCTGCCAGGACAGGGACATGGCCCAGCCCCAGCTCGTTTGAAGGGACCTTCCATGGGGCTCTCCAGGGAGGGACGGGTGAGCCAGCGCTCCTGGGATGGGGCTCTGGCCTGGGCTAAGGCCCTTTCCCCGCTGCTGCTCCCAGCACAGAGGGGTCTGAGGACAGGGGCAGGGGCTCTTTCCTTCCCCCCCTGACACAGCCCCCGGTGTCATCCCAGCCCCGTGGTTCCCGTGGCATGGGGATGGCTGGGCACTCGCACCTTGGGCTCTTGGATGTGCCGGGTATAGGAGATGCTCAGTGCTCCTGGCTCACACAGCAGGGTTCAAGGCATGAAAAACCCATTTCCCCCACTACAGCCAGCCCTGTCCTGTGACCCTGCACCACCACAGTGATGTGACACCTGCAGCAGAGCCATCCCTCATATATGGTCATGAATGGCACTGGAGACATTCATTGGAGGGCTGGGCTGTGTCGGAGGGGAGATAACTCCCGATAATGTCTAAAAAGGTGCTGCTGCTTTGATTGGCTCCTCCCATAGCTGGCCTGGCATCTGCAGAGCTATATTGCCCTCCCGTCATCATTGTCCCCGTGAGTCCCCAGGAGCTGTGACAGGAGTGTGGCACGGCAAGGATGTGCTGGCAGGGCAGGAGGCTCAGGATGGGCACAGAGGGACTGCTGTCCCCTCAGGTGCTGGGGCTGCTCCTCTGGGTACAGCTGTGCAGGGGTAAGTGCCGGCTGCCTTGTCCCACAGCCCAGGAATAGCGGGTACCAGCGTGGTCACTGGGATCTGTCTGGGAATGGGGATTCTTTGCAGGTGCTACAGAGATGACAGGACACAACGTACTCAAGTCTGTGGACCCTGTGCTCTTCCCTGGGCCCATCTAGGTGGGAGACAGTATCTCCTTTTGCAGGGTTCCAGTGTCTAGGGCAGCCTGTGCCTGGCTGGATTCATAGACACCCTGTCCTGGGGTAACTTTTGGGACCCCCTGTCCCCTCGCACTGTGCCTCTGGAGCCGGTGGTGGCCTCGCTGGAGATGGCAGCACCCAGAGATCCCCTCGGGACACTGCTAATGTCTCAGGTGTCCCAAAGGGATTTTGTGCTGTTCACTGCCCCCTTGTTCCAGGGGAGCCCTGATGCCATGAAGACAGTTTGTACCCCACGGAGAGATGGGGACCAGGGCATCTACAGTAGAGAGACACCCCTCCTGGGGGTCCCAGCCCAGTGCAGGGACTGGGCTGACACCGGGGATGAGAAGGGGCTGTGGGTGGGGGAATCCTCTGGATCATCTCAGTGGGAACGCGGAAAGGCCTGGGCATGGGGGTGGGTTTGGCTGGCTCTGGGGCAGGCAGTTGCATGGGAAGCTGCAGGCCTGGGTACACGGGGCTGTTCAGGAGGTGCTGGGGAGGAGCAGGTGCCCAGTGCAGGGCTGGGCAGTGTGCAGGTGGGCGTGAGCAGGAGGCAGGTAGCCATTGGGGTGGGAAAAGGTGTCTTGTGTGGTGGGATGACAAATGACCCAGCAGGGCTGGAGCTGGGCACCCCCAGCCTTGCACAGCCCATGAGGATAGAAGGGACCCCTGAACTGCCCTGAAGACAGCCTGGAGGGGAGTGGGCTCCCACCCTGGTGCCTCTAACTCTACCCTGGCAGGGGGCTCCCCCAGACCCACAGTCTGGGGCTTGGTGCTCCCCTGACCCATCCCATCTTGGTGTTTGAAGGTGCTTTGGAGGTGAGGCTGGCGGACGGCGGCAGGCGCTGTGCTGGGAGAGTGGAGGTGAAACATCAGGGCAAGTGGGGGACTGTGTGTGATGACTACTGGGCCATGAAGGATGCAGCAGTGGTTTGTAAGGAGCTGGGCTGTGGGTCTGCTGTTGGAGCACCTCAGTACGGATACTTTGGGCCAGGATCTGGCCCCATTTGGATGGATGATGTTGGCTGTAATGGCACCGAATCTGCCCTGTCTGACTGCACACACAGAGGATGGGGTGAACATAACTGTGAACATTCTGAGGATGCTGGAGTGATGTGTTCAGGTAAGGGGACAACCTATTCCATACCTCTGGGGCTGGGACTGTGGAAAGTATCTGGCTGTGCCTTCAGAGAGCAACGAGCGGACACTGGAACACTGCTCAATGTGGCCAGTCACACTGCCAAGCTGGGACTGTTATTACTGGTGACCCCAGTGCCTGGGGAAAGCCCAGAGTGAGCCTACCCCAGGGTGAACTAACCCTGCCACAGTGTCTCAGCCCCTCTTCAGCCAGTGCCTTAGGCTGCAAATGAACACTCTCTCCATGCCCCAGTGTGTCCACTGGTATCCAGTGGTCTCCACCCAGTCTGCCAGTTCCCAGCCAACAGTGCTGAGGGCCCTGTGCTTGAGAAACCAGGGCGGGTCTTACTTGGAACATCACAGCTTGGAGGAGTGGCATGTGGTGGCTGGTCCCCGTGGGTCATTCCCCCTCACAGGCATGAGTACCTCAGCTGAATCAGACCAGATTTTCAGGGAGCACGAGTGCTGTCCCTGGGCAGAGGAGCAGGGTGGCACACAGCCCTTGGCCTCGGACCCAATCTGCGCACACCACTGCGGTGCTGGGGGGACCATGCCAGTCAGCACAGGGCACCTTGTGCAGCAGCAATTTGTCTGAGCCGTGCCTGGTGCTGTGACAGACACATAACTTTGGATATTCTGATGGTGTAGAGAAGGGGTGCAGGGGGGCCTGGATGTGTTTGTGACACAAACACTGCCCAAGCAGCTTCTTCTAAGATGTGCAGTGAGTAATTTTGGTCACAGCTTGTGTGGAGGTGATGTGGGATGTGGGCATGGGAATGCCACAGGACTCTGCGAATGCCCAGTTGATTTGGTTTTTTATTTTTTTCCAGAATTTTTCCGTCTGGTGGAAGGGAAGAGCCGCTGCTCAGGACGTGTGGAGATCCGTGATGGGGACCTGTGGAAAAGTGTCTGTGATTCCCACTTTGGTCCCAAGTCTACTAACGTGCTCTGCAGGGAGTTGCAGTGCGGCACAGCCCTGCCTGTCGCTGGAGGAAGTCACGTTGGAGAAGGGGTGGGTCCCATGTGGGATGGAGAGCTGCGGTGTGTGGGGAATGAATCCCTCCTCGCCTCCTGCCCCAGGGGGTCACCCCGGGACCAGCCCTGCACCCATGCAAACAGCGCTGTTGTGGACTGCACAGGTAAGGACTCAGGGTGGGCTGTTGAACACCGGGGCTGTGGTAGGGGCAGGGGAGGAGGGCAGGGACTGTGCTGGCCTTGGCATTAGAACAGGAGGGGTGATGTTGTCTCCTGCGGTCTGCAGTTACGCAGGAAACGATGCAGAAGCCAATGCCTCGCTTCTGTTCCGTCCTCCTGCACTTGGTGCACGGCTGCCAAAAGGTTCAGGATGTTACTGTAGCTGCTCCTCTGGGTGAAGTTGTGCAGGGGCAAATGCCTGCTGCCCTGCCACAAAGCCCTGGGGCCAAGGAGCAGCACAGGGATCCCTCTGGAAATGGGGCTTCTTCCCATGTGTCCATGTGACAAGGTGTAGAAAGTAGAGAGGTTCACTGAGCCTGTGCTTCTCTGCGTGGCAGAAGGGCTTTTCTGCTTCCAGGGCTCCCATGTTTCTGGCCGTTGGTACCCGGGTGTGGATTTGCCATCCTTGGGCACCGTCCCTGGGGCCCTGGCTCTGCCAGCTCTGTTCCCTGTGAGCTGGTGGTGCCTTAACTGGTGGCTCTTTGTTCTGTCATCCCAGAGGCACAGCCAGCCTCCGGGGTAGCCGGGAAGGTCTGTGGGCTCTTCACTCTTGTCCTGGAGTCAGGGTGAGCCCTGTCCTGACCAGGGGTGGGTTGTGCTTGTGGAGACAGGGAGAACTGGGGAATCTCTTCCCAGAGGCTCGCAAAGGGGTGACCTTCCTGGGGGGATCCCAGACAAGGTCAGGACTGGGCTGATGCCCAAGGACAAGGAGGGGCATGTGTTGGGAGGCCTCACTGGGACCATCATGTTGCTCCACAGGGGACACAGAATGTCCTGAGGGAGGAGGGTGAGTTGGGAGGGGCCCAGGGCAGGCTGTGGTCCAGGGGAGCTGGGGGCTCTGGGGAAGATTAGCCGTGTGAGCCTGGGGGATCCCTGGTGGGGACAGGTCCCTTTCCAGGGTGCTGTCTGTGGAGAAGCAGGAGCCCTGGGTGGGCATGGGCCAGGCACAAGGGGCTGTTCGGTTGGAAGGAAGTGCCAAATTGTGTGGTGCCACAAATGACACAGCAGAGCTGGAGCTGGGCACCCCCAGCCTTGCACAGCCCATGAGGATAGAAGGGACCCCTGAACTGCCCTGAAGACAGCCTGGAGGGGAGTGGGCTCCCACCCTGGTGCCTCTAACTCTACCTGCACAGGGCTTCCCCGAGACCTGCGGTGCTGGGGCTCGGCGCTGTCCTGACCCATCCCATCTTGGTGTTTGAAGGTGCTGTGGAGGTGAGGCTGGCGGACGGCGGCAGGCACTGTGCTGGAAGAGTGGAGGTGAAACATCAGGGCAAGTGGGGGACTGTGTGTGGTGATTACTGGAGCATGAAGGATGCAGCAGTGGTTTGTAAGGAGCTGGGCTGTGGGTCTGCTGTTGGAGCACCTCAGTACGGACACTTTGGGCCAGGATCTGGCCCTATTTGGATGGATGATGTTGGCTGTAATGGCACCGAATCTGCCCTGTCTGACTGCACACACAGAGGATGGGGTGAACATGACTGTGGTCATCTCCGTGATGCTGGAGTGGTGTGTTCAGGTAAGGGGACAACCTATTCCATACCTCTGGGGCTGGGATTGTGGAAGGAACCTGGCTGTGCCCTCAGGGAGCAAAAGTCAGGCACTGGAGAATGCCCAGTTTGGCCAGTCACACTGCTGAGCTGGGACTGTCATTACTGGTATCCCCAGACCCTGGGGAAAGCCAGTGGGAACCTGCCCAAGGGTGCCTTACCATGCCTGGTCCCTGAGCTGGTGCAGATGAACTCTCCATCCCTTCCCTGCATGGTCTGTTGATTGCCATCTTTCTCCTCCTGTTTACCCAGGAGCTGTCTGGCAGTGCTGAGGGCCAGCTGCCCCCATGCCAGAGGTACCAGAAGTGACTCCTGTGGCCACCCACCGTCCTGGGGAATGGCTTGAGATGGGGAGCTACTTTTGGGTTATCCCTGCCGGCAGACACGAGTCCCTTGGCTGAAGCAAAGGGGTTGCTCAGAGAGGATGAGCGCTGGGCTTGGCCAGAAGAGCAGGGTGGCACGTGGCACCTTGTTCCTCTCCCAGGGTCACCCCATGAGAGCCTGCCCATGGGGACATGGCACCGTGCAGGCAGTGCTGACCTGCCACCCAGCCTCTCCTGCCCGCCCCAGCCCCTGGCTGCTCTGTGCCACAGGGGATTTGCCAGCACTTACTGGCTCTCCTCTGTGCCCACCCTTGCACCGGGAGGTTGTGTAAGCCCAGGGCTGCTCTTCTGTCCACTCTCCTGCCTTCTGTCCATCCACTGGGCAGGGCCGTGCATGCCCAGCAGCGCACTCTGGCCATGGCTGAGAACCTCTGTCCTGGGTAGGCGCCTGAGCAGGGTGGTGGCACTGCCACCAACCACAGGTACAGCCTCACAGTCCCTTAGCTCTGTGACATGTTCCATCCACCAGCAGCTCCCCAACAGCCTAAGACAGAGAAACTCCTGTGGCTGTGGATGTTGGGAGAGAAAGAAGCCCCCAAGTGCTGTGCTGATTTCTGAGGAGCAGTAGTTCCGGGCCTGATGTGTTTGTGCCACCAACACCCCCTGAGAGCAGCTGGGGATGTCGTTGGGCATTTTGCCTGTGGCCACCTTGGAGATCAGCTGGCATGTAGTCAGGGTATTGCCAGAGGGCTGTGGGAACTCTCAGGGGTCATTGGTTGGTCCAGAATCTGTCCGGCTGCTCTAAGGGCACAGATCCTCCTGAGGACTGATGTATGAATGAAGAGGCATTAACCAGATGGTTTCTCAAGAAAACATTAACTGGATAACTACCTTGCGAATGAATGAGAGAAAAACAGAATGAGCCCAACATTGTCCTTGACATAAGGAACTACTGAGCCACCAAGATAAAGGAGCTGCAAGTTAGCAACAAACCACATCCAACAAGGCCTGAAAGACGAGATGTGCTTAACTACAGAACTGAGTCTGCGCAAAAGCAAGGGTCAACTAACGAACACAGTGAAGAAGACTACGAGCCTTCATCAGAAGACCCTTGCCCACAATCACCAAGAGACATTGTGCAAGCGCGATGGGGAGGGACTTGGGGTGGGGGATATGTTAATGTTTTCTTGGAATGAATTGTAATATTCCCTCCCTATTCCCGGAATTACAATGCATATGTATTTGGGCTGATGAATATGTAACTTTGGCATCATAAAAGGGGGCCACTTTTGGCTCCACGGCACGCACCCTGTGGAGGAGCGATCCCCTGTGCGTCCAGCACTGAATAAACATACCTACTTTACAACCTTACTGGTTGTAAAGTCATCCTTCTGCACGTCAGGACATATAGTGATCCATGATGAGGCCCTTTGGTCAGCGGTCTGTGACTCACACTTTGGTCCCAACGGTGCCAACGTGGTTTGCAGAGTCTGCTGTGGGTCTGAAATGGACGCACATCCCTGAGTGCTGTGATGGTGGAGAGGTGGTGTGTAACTTGACATGGATGACTTTGTGACACCAACACTCCCCCAACAGCTTCCTCTGTTGTTAACGTAAAAGTCAGCCTGTAAGGAAACTCTCAGAGACCAAGGTCTACGGTTTCTGAAAGAAGCATTCTTTTATTGGTGCCAGGTCACTGGGGGATAATTCCACCTAGCACCGCCACCCTGAACTTATTGGTATCCTGTTAATATAGGAAAAGGTCATACATATTCATTACTATTCTGGGGAGTATAAACATAAATATAAGCTTTCCTTGGGACTCATTTTAATACTATGTCCTTTACACATGCGTGGTTGTGCATCCTGATGGTCATTTCAATGTCGGTGGCTGTTATTTCCTCCTTCCACATCTTCTTCACTTTGTCCTTTTCTTAAACTTGTCTCTCTTGGCACTCATCGTTGTCTGCATTAAGTTCACACATCACAAAACCAAATCATTCTGGCCTTTTTTCAACTCTTCTTGTTATTATCTTTGAGCATTCAGCAAGTATCCTACTTAATCTAAGCTGATATCAGATGGTCAGCAGCTACATGCAAGGCTATCCAATTAAGCAACCACTATCTTCAAAGGTTATGCAATTAAGCATCTACTATCTTCACAGGCCTATTGTTAACAATAACAGCTTGTTTCAAGGACCTACCTTTTACTCAATCTGTCTTTTCAAGCAAATATTACAAGGAAACTTAAAGGTATCATTGGAATTTGCAATGGGTGATTTGGTCACAGGTTGCTTAGAGGTGGTGTGGCATGTGGGCATGGGAATGCCACAGGGCTCTGGAAACTCCCAGTTGATTTGTTTTTGATTTTTTTTTTTTTTTTTCTAGAATTTGTCCGTCTGGCAGAAGGGAAGAGCCGCTGCTCAGGACGTGTGGAGATCCATGACGGGGACCTGTGGAAAAGTGTCTGTGATTCCCACTTTGGTCCCAAGGCTGCTGACGTGCTCTGCAGGGAGTTGCAGTGCGGCACAGCCCTGCCTGTCGCTGGAGGAAGTCACGTTGGAGAAGGGGTGGGTCCCATGTGGGATGGAGAGCTGCGGTGTGTGGGGAATGAATCCCTCCTCGCCTCCTGCCCCAGGGGGTCACCCCGGGACCAGCCCTGCACCCATGCAAACAGCGCTGTTGTGGACTGCACAGGTAAGGACTCAGGGTGGGCTGTTGAACACTGGGGCTGTGGTAGGGGCAGGGGAGGAGGGCAGGGACTGTGCTGGCCTTGGCATTAGAACAGGAGGGGTGATGTTGTCTCCTGCGGTCTGCAGTTATGCAGGAAACGATGCAGAAGCCAATGCCTCGCTTCTGTTCCGTCCTCCTGCACTTGGTGCACGGCTGCCAAAAGGTTCAGGATGTTACTGTAGCTGCTCCTCTGGGTGAAGTTGTGCAGGGGCAAATGCCTGCTGCCCTGCCACAAAGCCCTGGGGCCAAGGAGCAGCACAGGGATCCCTCTGGAAATGGGGCTTCTTCCCATGTGTCCATGTGACAAGGTGTAGAAAGTAGAGAGGTTCACTGAGCCTGTGCTTCTCTGCGTGGCAGAAGGGCTTTTCTGCTTCCAGGGCTCCCATGTTTCTGGCCGTTGGTACCCGGGTGTGGATTTGCCATCCTTGGGCACCGTCCCTGGGGCCCTGGCTCTGCCAGCTCTGTTCCCTGTGAGCTGGTGGTGCCTTAACTGGTGGCTCTTTGTTCTGTCATCCCAGAGGCACAGCCAGCCTCCGGGGTAGCCGGGAAGGGCTGTGGGCTCTTCACTCTTGTCCTGGAGTCAGGGTGAGCCCTGTCCTGACCAGGGGTGGGTTGTGCTTGTGGAGACAGGAGAACTGGGGAATCTCTTCCCAGAGGCTCGCAAAGGGGTGACCTTCCTGGGGGGATCCCAGACAAGGTCAGGACTGGGCTGATGCCCAAGGACAAGGAGGGGCATGTGTTGGGAGGCCTCACTGGGACCATCATGTTGCTCCACAGGGGACACAGAATGTCCTGAGGGAGGAGGGTGAGTTGGGAGGGGCCCAGGGCAGGCTGTGGTCCAGGGGAGCTGGGGGCTCTGGGGAAGATTAGCCGTGTGAGCCTGGGGGATCCCTGGTGGGGACAGGTCCCTTTCCAGGGTGCTGTCTGTGGAGAAGCAGGAGCCCTGGGTGGGCATGGGCCAGGCACAAGGGGCTGTTCGGTTGGAAGGAAGTGCCAAATTGTGTGGTGCCACAAATGACACAGCAGAGCTGGAGCTGGGCACCCCCAGCCTTGCACAGCCCATGAGGATAGAAGGGACCCCTGAACTGCCCTGAAGACAGCCTGGAGGGGAGTGGGCTCCCACCCTGGTGCCTCTAACTCTACCTGCACAGGGTTTCCCCGAGACCTGCGGTGCTGGGGCTCGGCGCTGTCCTGACTGGTCCTGTGTCAGTGTTTGAAGGTGCTGTGGAGGTGAGGCTGGCGGACGGCGGCAGGCACTGTGCTGGAAGAGTGGAGGTGAAACATCAGGGCAAGTGGGGGACCGTGTGTGGTGATTACTGGAGCATGAAGGATGCATCTGTGGTTTGTAAGCAGCTGGGCTGTGGGTCTGCTGTTGGAGCACCTCAGTACGGACACTTTTGGCCAGGATCTGGCCCCATTTGGATGGATGATGTTAGCTGTAATGGCACCGAATCTGCCCTGTCTGACTGCACACACGGGGGATGGGGTGAACATGACTGTGGTCATGTTGATGATGCTGGAGTGGTGTGTTCAGGTAAGGGGACAACCTATTCCATACCTCTGGGGCTGGGATTGTGGAAGGAACCTGGCTGTGCCCTCAGGGAGCAAAAGTCAGGCACCAGAGAATTGCCCAGTTTGGCCAGTCACACTGCTGAGCTGGGACTGTCATTACTGGTGTCCCCAGTGCCTGCGGAAAGCCAGTGGGAACCTGCCCAAGGGTGCCTTACCGTGCCTGGTCCCTGAGCTGGTGCAGATGAACCCTCCATCCCTTCCCTGCATGGTCTGTTGATTGCCATCTTTCTCCTCCTGTTTACCCAGGAGCTGTCTGGCGGTGCTGAGGGCCAGCTGCCCCCATGCCAGAGGCACCAGAAGTGACTCCTGTGGCCACCCACCATCCTGGGGAATGGCTTGAGATGGGGAGCTACTTTTGGGTTATCCCTGCCGGCAGACACGAGTCCCTTGGCTGAATCAAAGGGGTTGCTCAGAGAGGATGAGCGCTGGGCTTGGCCAGAAGAGCAGGGTGGCACGTGGCACCTTGTTCCTCTCCCAGGGTCACCCCATGAGAGCCTGCCCATGGGGACATGGCACCGTGCAGGCAGTGCTGACCTGCCACCCAGCCTCTCCTGCCCGCCCCAGCCCCTGGCTGCTCTGTGCCACAGGGGATTTGCCAGCACTTACTGGCTCTCCTCTGTGCCCACCCTTGCACCGGGAGGTTGTGTAAGCCCAGGGCTGCTCTTCTGTCCACTCTCCTGCCTTCTGCCCGTCCACTGGGCAGGGCCGTGCATGCCCAGCAGCGCACTCTGGCCATGGCTGAGAACCTCTGTCCTGGGTAGGTGCCTGAGCAGGGTGGTGGCACAGCCACCGACCACAGGTACAGCCTCAAAGTCCCTTAGCCCTGTGACATGTCCCATCCACCAGCCTCACCTCAACAGCCCAAAATCTCTGTGGGTATGGGGTGCACTTCTCATGGCACCAAGGGGCTCCTCACTCCTGGCTCTGAGCTCAGTGGGGCAGAGCAAGCTGCATCAGCCAACTGCGCCTGGCCCCATTTCCCCAAACCCCAAGTGCTGTGGGGGCTGCAGTGCTCAGGGAGCAGTACTGGGAAGCCCAAGGTCTCTGCGGCAGCAGCAGTGTGTCAGAGAGACTCCTGTGGCTGTGGATGTTGGGAGAGAAAGAAGACCCCAATGCTGTGCTGATTTCTGAGGAGCAGTAGTTCCGGGCCTGATGTTTGTGCCACCAGCACCCCCTGAGAGCAGCTGGGGATGTCGTTGGGCATTTTGCCTGTGGCCACCTTGGAGATCAGCTGGCATGTAGTCAGGGTATTGCCAGAGGGCTGTGGTAACTCTCAGGGGTCATTGGTTGGTCCAGAATCTGTCCGGCTGCTCTAAGGGCACAGATCCTCCTGAGGACGTATAGTGATCCATGATGAGAACTTTTGGACAGCGGTCTGTGATTCACACTTTGGTCCCAATGGTGCCAACGTGGTTTGCAGAGTCTGCTGTGGGTCTGCAATAGACACACACCCCTGAGTGCTGTGATGGTGGAGAGAAGGTGTGTAACTTGACATGGATGCCTTTGTGACACCATCACTACCCCAACAGCTTCTTCTGAGATGTGCAGTGAATGATTTTGGTCACAGCTTGTGTGGAGGTGATGTGGGATGTGGGCATGGGAATGCCACAGGGCTCTGCGAACTCCCAGTTGATTTATTTCCAGGATTTTTCCATCTGGTGGAAGGGAAGAGCCGCTGCTCAGGACGTGTGGAGATCCGTGACGGGGACCTGTGGAAAAGTGTCTGTGATTCCCACTTTGGTCCCAAGGCTGCTGACGTGCTCTGCAGGGAGTTGCAGTGCGGCACAGCCCTGCCTGTCGCTGGAGGAAGTCACGTTGGAGAAGGGGTGGGTCACATGTGGGATGGAGAGCTGCGGTGTGTGGGGAATGAATCCCTCCTCGCCTCCTGCCCCAGGGGGTCCCCCCGGGACCAGCCCTGCACCCACGCAAACAGCGCTGTTGTGAACTGCACAGGTAAGGACTCAGGGTGGGCTGTTGAACACTGGGGCTGTGGTAGGGGTTGGGAACAGAGCAGGGTCCGTGCTGGGCCAGGTGTGAGGACAGGAGGGGTTGATGGGTTTGTTTGCAGCATGACAATACTGCAGAAGGAGGACAAAGACACGTTGTCCCTCTGGCCTCTCCACCAGCGGCAGATAATTCTCCGCCTCTGTCCCCAGAGTACACAGGGATCAGACTGGTGAACGGCAGCACAGTGTGTGCGGGGAGGGTGGAGGTCCAGGTGCTGGGGACCTGGGGGACCCTCTGTGCCTCCCGCTGGGATCTCTCGGATGCCCACGTTCTCTGTCATCAACTCAACTGCGGGTTTGCTGAGTCCATTCCTGGAGGAGAACATTTTGGGAGAGAGACTGGCCCTGTCTGGAGAGACTCATTCCACTGTGATGGGACTGAAGCCCTCCTGCAACAGTGCCCAGTGACCACCCTGGGGGCCTCGCCATGCTCCCAAGGGAACGCTGCTGCTGTCATTTGCTCAGGTGAGTGCTGGAAAAATGTTGCATGAACTCCATTTCTCATTTGTGTGCAACATGGCCACTAAAAGCAGGGGTTCCGTGGCCGTATCAGGCTGAATTTCTCCTTGGGGAAACCCTGGCTTCCCCAGGAGCATCTGGAGGGCTTTCCCTGCTCAGACTGACCGCTCAACTTTGGGAGAGCTGAGGTCTGAACGGAGGCAGTCATCTGCCCCCAGGGCAGTGGCTTAGGCCCCAGCACCACCGCCAGGCCTGGGTTCCTCTGTCCTCGTACTGTGCAGCGACCCCAGGACAGAGCTGCAGGGCTCTGCTCCATCCCTCTGGCTGCAGCCGACCGCATCCCGTCCCCACAGAGAGCCCTGCAGAGCCTCATCCCCCCACCCAGGCAGGAGCTGGTGCCCCCAGCAGCAGCTGACCTGGCTGTGAGCTGCAGAGAGGGCCCAGGCTTTGCCCTGGCTTCTCGTCAGCACAAGGCTCCATCTTGTCCCGTTTGGTTGAAAATCCCCCCTCGCCCTGCTCCCTGCAGGGTGCCATGCTCCCAGTGCCACCGATGGCCGTGGCATCTCTGCTCTCCCCAGGCCCAGCCGGCTTTGGATCCCTGCGGCTGGTGAGTGGAGGGAGCCGGTGCGACGGACGAGTGGAGATCTTCCAGGATGGGGCGTGGGGCAGAGTCCTGGATGAGCAGTGGGATGTGCAGGAGGCCAGCGTGGTGTGCCGGCAGCTGCGGTGCGGAGAGGCAGGGACAGCCTACAACCCCCCAAAGCCTGAGCGAGGAACGGGCCCCGTGGGGCTGCGAGGGGTCCGGTGCGCAGGGCACGAGGCCAAGCTGACCCTCTGCGACACCTCCCTGCCCGGCAGTGCGCTGGCGGCAGGGCTTGCGCAGGACGTGGGAGTCATTTGCTGGGGTGAGTGGCACTGCCCAGGCGCCCAGGTGACGGTCTGCGCAGGCGGGCAGGCCCTGACAGCGACTGGGGTTTCCACCCGCTGCAGGGAGCCGGCGGGTCCGTCTGGTGAACGGGGCCGGGCGCTGCGCAGGGAGAGTGGAGATCTACTCCCAGGGCATCTGGGGGACTGTCTGCGACGACGGCTGGGACCTGTCTGATGCCGCCGTCGTTTGCCACCAGCTGGGCTGCGGAGGGGCAGTGGAGGCAGCTGGTTCCGCTCGCTTTGGGGAAGGCTCCGGGCAGATCTGGCTGGATGGTGTGAACTGCTCTGGGGCCGAAGCTGCTCTCTGGGACTGCCCGGCTGGGCCCTGGGGGCAGCACGACTGCGGGCACAAAGAGGATGCGGGAGTCATCTGCTCAGGTCTGTGCCACCTAAGGAGCTGTGGTGGGAGACTGGTCCCGGGGAGAGCAGGATGCGGGGAGAGCCGGCCATGGCCAAGGCTGCCCCTGGCTGCCTCTGAGCTCCTGCCCGAGGCCCACCCATGCACGGACACCCTCAGTCCCACGGGGGATCCCTGGGGAGATCAGCCGTCCCCGAGGGTTATCGGGAAGGGCAGGGCTGGCTGTAAATCCAGGACTTCTCTCTGCTCCTGGCTGCAAGGGGGATGTGCTGGCCTTGCCCCTGCCTGGCTGAGGGCCTGGGGGGTGCAGAGGTGTCCTGGCTCCCACAGCCCCAGACAAGTCTGTTCCCGCTTTGGGGCCTTTTCTTCCCAGAGTTCGTGGCCCTGAGGCTGGAGAACAGTGACGGCTGCTCTGGGCGCCTGCAGGTTTTCTACAACGGGACATGGGGGAGCGTTTGCTCTAACTCCATCACTCACGACACGGTGACGCTGGTGTGCAAGGAGCTGCGATGCGGGGACGGAGGATCCCTGAAAACACGCCTGCCCTCTGGCAGGGTGTCTGGCCCTGCCTGGCTGGATCGCGTGCAGTGTGGGGAGACAAACAGCTCCTTCTGGCAGTGTCCCTCCATGCCCTGGAACCCACAGTCATGTGAATACCTGGAAGAGGAGATCCACATCACCTGCAATGGTAACTCTGAGCCACCTGGGCACCAGTGTCACCCCAGCTCCTGCTCCCCACGGGGCATGGCCAAACACAGAGAAAGAGCTTGGAGGGGCTTTTCCTTTCCATGCCAGACCCTTCTGCTGCCACTGGCACAAACGTGACCGTGGCCACACACGTCCAGCAGCAGTTGCCACCCAGGTTGCCAGCAGTGCCTGGGGGAGGCAGAAGCATCTCCAGGTGAAGTCTCAGAAGAGAAAAGACAGGTTTCAGAGGAGCCTCCCTCCAGAGACAAGCTACTGCTGCTCTGTGAGCCAGGGACCTTCTGGGGCTGAGCAATCAGGTTCCCCCCCCAGATCTGCACGTGTCCCCTGGATGACCGGGGTTCAGTTGCTGCCATGCCCCAGATGGTGAAGGGAGGCCCAAGCAGAGATCAGCCCTGCTCTCTTCTGCATGATCCCCCAAACCACCCCTTCACCACAGTGTTTCCTTCTTCAGGGGGACAGCCAGAAATGCCCCCGACCCCGCTGGCGCCGTGCCCCAACTCCGCAAGCTGCACAGGTAGGGAGCTCCCCTCTGTGTCTGGCAGGGCTCTGCCTGCTCTCCCGGTGCCATGGGAGGTCTTTCCCTTCTCCAGCCAGGGAGAAGATTCGTGCCATGGGAGGCGAGGACGGGTGCTCGGGCAGAGTGGAGGTCTGGCACCATGGCTACTGGGGGACAGTGTGCGACGACTCGTGGGACATGCAGGATGCCGAGGTGGCGTGCAGGCAGCTGGGCTGTGGCCCCGCAGGTGTCTGCCCTGCATGAGGCTGCGTTTGGGATGGGGACGGGCCCCATCTGGCTGGAGCAGGTGGAGTGCCGGGGGACGGAGCCGTCCCTGCAGGACTGCTGGGCCCGGCCCGGGGACAGCGGGGCTTGTCGGCACAAGGAAGATGCTGCCGTGCGCTGCTCAGGTGAGGGGCAGGGCTGGGAGCCCTTGCTCGGGTATTGGCAGGGAGCTAGGGAAGGCCTTTTGTCCACGTGGTCCTGGCATGGCCCCCGACCTCCCGAGAGCAAGAACGTTCCTGCGGAGTGCAGGAGCCTGGTGCCAAGCAGGGAGCAGCCTCGGTGTAACTGGCCGTGCTCTGGCCATTGCCCATGGGGCCCTGCAGCCCCAGGGCTATCCCCTGGGCTGCCTCTGCCATCCTGCCTGCCTCCCAGAGCAGAGGTGCTGGGCTCTGTCCTGGCCTCCCTTTCTAGCACTACAGGAGGGGCAATTTGGGTGGGATGTGTCAGGGGCATCTAGAGACACACACACACACACACACACACACACACACAGAGTATGTTGGGGAGGAGGCTCCCTGGTACCCGCACACCCACTCTCTCAGCCCAGCTCTCCTTTTCCTCCTCTGCAGATACACCCAGGACGGCAACACCACCGCCCCAAGCAGGTAACTTGTCCTCCCCCAAGGCTGGGTACCCCCGGGGCCAGGCTGTGACCCCCAGCTGGATGGAAGGGGCTCCTTGCTGGGGTGTGAAACTGCCTGGAGGAGATACTGGAATGGTGGCAGGGGTTGGGGAGAGCTGTAATTTACCTAGGAGGGTGGAAGATTCCCCATCACTCACCCCTGGGGCCCTCCACCTGCTTCTGCTTTGCTTGATGGGGCCAGCACTGGTGCTGCCCCTTCCAAGTTCTCTCCCATGCAGATCCCACCCGAGGCCATCAGAGCAGCAGCTGGAGAGTCTCAGTGCCTGTCATCATGTGCATCATCCTGGGGACCCTTGTCTGCCTGCTCCTGGCCCTCCTGGCTGGGCAAGTGCTGAGCGCCAGGGCTGGGCGCAGAGGTGGGTCCTTGCCCAGAGGTGTCGGGGGGAGATACCTCCTGGCAGGGCTGTGGGGTGCTGCGGGGGGTGTCAGCGAGGGGCACAGGCAGAGCGGGAGGGTGAGACTGTGCTGCTACCTGCCACATGTGCTGCCCCATTGAGTGCCTGGCCGTGGGGCACCAGCAGCAAGGGGTGGAGAGAGCCCTGAGGTGGGGGCAGTTAGCCATGGGGCGAGGAGAGAAATGGCAGAGTGGGGATGGCCAAGGCTGGTGGTGCTCTCGGTAGTGCTGGAGGGGGCTCTGGGGCAAGAGAGGTGCTAGGAGGATTGTGGGGCAGCAGGGTCCATCACCGTGGTGTCAGACCCCCAGACTGTCCCTCTGCCCAGCCCTGCCCACCTCCTGGCAAGACAGGGGCCCTACTATAGACCCATGGGGCAGGTAGGGGCAAGCTCCAGGTGGAGAGGAATTGTGGGAACAGATCCAGGGTGAGACAAGGGGGACATGGCGCACAGGCCAGAGGGGCATGAGCGCTGTCTCCAAAGGGATGATGTGAGGGTGACGTTGCCCCAGATAATCTTCACATCGATGTTGCCCTCACTGGGGATGTGGCAGCCGTGCCTGGACAGCGCAGTGGGGCTGTGCTGTTGGACCTGTCCTGAGGTGGCCCAAGGGACCATTTTGGGGGAGCACAGTGGGTTCCCTTTGCCCCTCTGCCTGTCCCTGTGCCAGCCCTGCCTCTGTCCCCAGGCTCCAGCAGAGCCCAGGAGCACTTCCCTGAGGCTGTGTACGAGGAGATCGGGTACAGCCCAGCCTGGGAGAAACTGGGCCAGGTTTGATCCCTCAGGTGGGTGTGGGTCTTCCCTGGAGGCACATGTGCAGGACCCTTTCCTCTGTCCCCAACCGAGAGCTGACCCCCCTGAATCCCCCCAGCCTGTGGTCCCTGTGGTGCTGGGTCTGTGGGGGCTGTGGGGAGAGCATCCAGGTCCTGGGCCCAGGCAGAAGCTTTCTCCCAGTCAGCTTTGACTGTCCCAGCTGGACAGCCCCTCTCTTCCTGCCCTTGCACCCCATGAGACACCCGAGGAACGAGGGAAGGGGCTGTCCTGGGCCAGCTCTGGGAGCTCCTTTGAGACAGGGTTTGTCCCGGGGGAGCAGGCTGAATTCCCAGCCCTCCTCCCCACACAGCCCCAGCTCTGTGGGTGGTCCCCCTTCCCCAGCAGCGCTGACCATGAACCATGTCAGTGGGGCTTGCTCCATAACACCCGCTGTGCATCTCTCCAGGCTCCTATTCAGAGGAGTCCCTGACCCAGCTGCAGCCCCACCCTGGGGTCAGCGAGGAGGAGGATGGTCTGGGATCAGCACCAGGTAACGGAGGCAGGAAGGGGTTGATGTTCCTGCAGACATGGGGTGGACAGAGGTGACCCTGAGTGTCACCATTGGAGAAGGGGAGGACACGGGCATCTCTTGTGGTGCTGCCAAGCCCAGTGTCTGCACCCTGTGTCCCTGCACATCCTCCCATCCTCTGCTCTGCAGGACGGATCTTCTCACTGTCACCAGCTCCCCTCTACTTTCAGACGTCCTTTTCCTGACCGGAGGTGACCCAGCAGATGGCTACGATGATGCCAGGGAAGTTTCTGATCCGGGGGAAGATGCTGTGCCTGGGCAGGGAGAGTGGGAAATGCCCAGGATGCCAGAGGAGGGAGCAGGGCCCAGGGCTGCACCTGGAGGTGAGAGGGAAAGAGAGCGCTGCCTGTTCCTAGGGTGCCATCCCTCGTTCCCCTCAAGTCACCAGCCTACTGACACCCGAACCTGCTGAGAAGGGGGAACCTGGCATGGGAGTTTTCCTTGAAAGGCCCGGGGGTGGGAGAAGGAGCTCAATGTGGTGAGGAGCAGGGAGGGTGGTGTTGTACAGACCCCATAGGGTGAACTGAAACATCCGGCCTTGCTGCTTGCAGGGGGCAGCCTGCGCTCCTGGAGAAGTGCCGAGGTCCCTGGAGCTGAAGGAGACACCTCGTCCCTGTCCCCAGGGAGCATGGGCTATGATGATGCTGAAGAGGTGCCTGTGGCACTTCCCTGTGAGGACGCAAAGGCTGCGACACCGGAGCTTGGTGCACAGCAGTCCCTGAGTCCCAGGCCAGGAGAGCCCATCCCTGCTGCACAGCTGGGTGCAGCTGGGAGGGAGGAGAGGTCTGTGCAGCTGGGAGAGCCGCGAGCACCAGGGGACTGTCTCCCTTGAGCCATGGGCAGCAGTAACCGCCGGGAGTTTCCTCCATTTTTATTCCCATTTTTATGCTGTGCATTCTTGTATTTGCTTATTAAAAGCCTCTGGGGGCTTTGACCCAGAGCTGGTGCTTCCTAGCCAGGTGTCAGGGCATCTCCCTGAGGCTGCTCAGAGGGAGCAGAGAACAGAGACATAGTGGTAGGGAAGGGGCACGTCTCAGGGACAGCAGGCTTGGGGTCAGCCTGTGGGGCTGCGTGAGGCCATGGTCCCTGGGGAATAATCTTGGTGACAGAGACATCTCCATCCTGCTGCCCACAGGCAATTTCTAGACAAAATGGCTCTCTGATAGGTCCTGTGATGCACCCCAGTGGGAGCACCCATTCCCTCCCCCAAGGGTTCCAGCTGCTCTTTCCCCAAGGCCCTGCCTGGGCCACACCGGTCCCACAGTGCAGAGGCCACGACAGAGCTTCCATGTCAGGGTGAGCCCTGGGCTTTTGTCTCACAGAAGGGAGCCCTAAGGTGACTGCAGGGCCCTGAATGCCCCAGCCAGCCCCAGGTGGGATCATGGCCCGCGGATTAGCTCCCACAACGCTTGGGAGGCAGCTCTGCTCCCCACTGCCCTGGCACAGGGTGCAGAGCCACCTCCTGGGAAACACGTGGCTGGGATTCCCTCTCCTCATGCTCTGCCAGGACCCCAGTCTCCATGGACTGTTCCTCCTGCCTTTCAGACCCGTGGCAGCCCTGGGCAGCCCTCCTCCTGCTCCCCTCCAGCTCTCACCCCTGCCCCCCTGCTGCCTTGCCAGGGATGTCAGTTTGGGTTGTGTGTGGGGCAGTACTTGTGGGCAGGTACAGGAGGGCTGGGAGCACCGAGGATGAGGGGACCGTTCCCTCAGCGCTGTTAGAGGGCCAGGGGGATGGAGAAAGCTTCCCCACAAGATGCGTGAAGCAGCCAAAAGCCGTGGTCCAGCCCCTGGCCTGGAGAAGGGCCCATCTGGGAGGATGCTCGTGTGGGCACATTTCCATGGCAGTGGAGATTTTGTGTCCCTCCACTAAAACAAGTGATGCTGGGAGCTGAGCCAGGGTCCCTCTCCCTCAGCTGGGGTTTCACCTGCCCCAGCACCCATGGCACAGAAACCTTGTGCAGAAGCCAGGCTGGGAGAAGAGTTTGGCACCTGGGCAGGACCTGGCGCCCCAACTGCCCTCCCTGCTCCCACTGGTGGGTCTCCGCACTCCACCAGATCTTCCCCAATGGGCTTCTCTGCTGCAGGCTGGAAGGTGCATTGGGTGTCTGTGGCAGGATTGCCTGTGGGGAGTAGCTGCAGCTCCATAGGATCATAGCAAACAGCAGGATCTGGCCCTGGAGCAGAAGTGGGGAGGAGGCAGATGTTGCCAACATCCTCTCCTATTGCAGTGTTGCCCCATTCCCTGCTGGGAGCTCCTCCACCCCTGGGCTGACCCTGGGGGCACCTGGGGGGAGCCGAGGTTCACACATCCCTCTGCCCCACACCCGAGAGCCTTCCTGCTGGCAGCCCCCCATGGGAGAGCAGCCTTCCCAGGGCAAGACCCCCACAGTGATGCGTGACATACATGGGAATTGCAAACACAGCCTGGAGAACTCCCACTGGGATAATCTCCAGCCCTGCATCTCAGAGAAATAAGGTGTAAAGGTGAAGTAAAGAAGAGGGGAGTGTTATCTTCTGAACACGGGATGGTGGGGGCCTCTGGGCAGTATGGACACTGATCTGCACACTCAAGGTGCCCCAAGTGGGAACTGGGGAGAAGAGCCCAGTGCCTGTCCGGTATGACTGCCCCACCAGCTCTGCCCTCCCGCAGGTGTAATATTTCTCCCATAATCTCGCACCTGGTAGAGGTTTGCTTCTTCCTCCTTGAGGGAATAAGCCCCAGGTGTGGGTGTGCTTGAGGGGGCAGCACCCCTGAGCAGAAAGAACCTGTTTCATGAATTTTGGGACTTAACAGTCTGGCCCTGCCAGCTGGGTCCCTTCTGTGCAGCAAAGCAAGATTGCCACTGTGCCCCAGATCTGTGGCTGCTCCTGCAGCTCCTGAGGATCTACCTGAGGGGGGTCGCAGTGAGACACCAACCCTCAACACTGTTGCCCCACACTGGGCAGAGCTCAACTGTGGAAAGCCCATGGGAAAGCAGCCTTATTTCTCTGAGTTTGGACTCCCTGTTCCCAAGGGCTGGGTACCCTGCAGTGAAAGTCCGTGTCTCTCACCCCGTTTTGGTTGCCAGTGTTTTTGCTGGGGGAGCAGCCGAGGCACCATGTCCTGGCCCTCGTTGCCTGGGCATGGCTGTGGACAGGCCTGTGCTTCCCCAATCCCACCAGCACAGGGTGCGCAGAGACAACAGTCACCCCATGAATAAGAGGTGGGCACCGGCCCCACTAGTCCCACCTCTGCTGAGCTGTGCCTGACTTCAGCAGCTCCACATTCCCTGAACTGAGGCTCTGCTCCAGCCAGTGGTGCCGGTGGAAGGAGAAGCACCTGGAGACAGGGTCAGGGTAGGAAATGTCATTCCTCCGGCTGGGAGTCCCACAGCCCTGCCCAGGCTCATCCAACTCAGACACCCCTACCTGCTGGCACAGAGGAGTGCTTCCCATGTGGTTTGGGATCTCCCCCTGGAGAAAAGACAATCTCAGAGCCTTGCCCCTGCAAAGCCACCAGGGCAGTGTGGCCCTGGTCCCAAAGGACACCTGGGCTGGACCAGCACTCTCACAGAACATCCCTCAGTGCAGCCAGAAAGGATTCCGAGCATGCTGCTGACATCTTTGCCCTCCCTGAGGGCTCCCCACAGGGAAGCACACTCTGCTGCCCAGCGCTGTCCCTGTCCTGGAACCCAGGAGCTCCCCCATGCAAAGCAGCTGCTCGGCCACTGAGCTACAGCCCCTGGAGACCTGCCAGCAGGAGAGACACTCTCCTCCCATGATGTGTCTATGCCAATCACAGTGCCGTTGTCCCCTAGGTACCCTGGGACCCTCTGCAGAAAACAGCACCTGAAGCCTCCTGAGATGGGGGAAGTCAGGACTGGCTCTCCACTGGGGCCTGATCCTGCCCTAGGGCTGCACTGCAGAGTGCTGCCCCTTTACCGTCTCTGCAGGGCAGTGGGGCAGGAGGAGGCTCTTGCTGCAGGCACTTCTCCCATGCTCTGACCCATTCTGGGCTAGGTCGATGGAGAAGAAAAAACCCCTGAGCCCCCTTTGCCCCCCAGGACAACACCCCTCTCTGCCACATCTGTCCCCAACTCCACAGCAGGGGCAGTGCAACAGGGTGAGGGAAATTCCCTCCCTGGGGTGAGTTGCCCCCAGGCTCTGATGGCATCCCAGGGTGTGTGGTGGGGGCACACAGGGGCAGAAATCCTATAACCCCTCCTCCAGTCACTGGGCCTTGCCCTGCACCACTCCTCCCACCAGCATCCCAGGAGGTGAGGTGGGCAGCAGGCTTCCATCTCCCTGGGGCTGTGGGTGTGGGTTGGGCTCAGGGACCTCCCCACTCCTTCAGCGCTGAGGGTGGTCCTGACAGCAAAGCAGTGCCCTGAGACAGCCCTGGCTGGGGTCTCCGTGGCAGGGTGGCTGAGCACAGGCAGCTGTTAACTCCAAGGCTGAGAGCCTGACCACATGCAGGGGTGGTGTCTTCGTGGTTGTAAACATGGGGCAGTTGTGCTGCTCAGCTGCAAGAAGTGCCTCTCCCTGGGACTGGGGGGACAGTGGCCTCCCTGTGGGCAGTGTGCCCTGGTCTGGGAACTGAGGTTGAGGTGAAGGATGTGTGTGAGGAGGGGAGCAGTCTGTGCACCAGTGAGAATGACCATGAGGAGAGAGACAGAGTCTTTGCAGAGACCCCTCAGTGGAGAGATCCCGATCCCTGTGGAGCAGGGAAGGAGACCCAGCTGGAGAACACTCCAAAGACACACTGAGTGGAGAGTCCTGCGCAGGGGAAGGCTGGGGGCTTGTGGTGCAAGAGGAAGGCTCCTTCTAACCTGTAGATGTGCAGCTACAGTGCACGGGCAGTGCTCTGGCAAGAGGGGAAGGAGCAAGGAGGGCCAGGGCAGGATGGATGAAGGCAGCCGGGCTCTGCAAGACCCTAAGGGAGAAAAACATTGCTGAAGCCCGTGGTTGAGCCAAGGACCTTTAGATCTTCAGTCTAACTCTCTCCCAGCTGAGCTACTTCAGCCCTGCCCCAGCAGACCTTGTCCCTGTGCCACCTGTGCCAGGCCACAGCCTGACACACATGAGGAGAGCTCCTTGGGGACGTTCCCAGGAAAAAGCTGTGCCCAGTGCAAGCAGAGTGGGCCTGGCCTCTCCCTGTCTCTGTGGCCAGGTGGGCTCCAGGTGTGGGGTGGGTGCCAGCTTACAGTGGGAGTGACAAGGTATGTGTTGGGTCTTAAATACAAAGGTGATGGTTGCAAAGTCAAGTGAGCAGGCCAGGAGCATACAGCTGCAAAGGCTGAGGGTGAAAGAAGTGTGGGGTTGGTGGCAGACCCCTCTCACAGGGAAGAGAAGGCCCAGGGGAGGAAGAGCTCGTGCTGGTGCCATAGGCTTTTGCTTCATTCTTGCCTGAGCCGGAGCATTTTGTTCAATGTTGGGAGACCACATGTAGGGGGAAAGGAGGCTCGGAAACCTCCAAGGGTCTGGGTTGCAGAGCCTCTCAAGATAACCTCTTCCAGTGTGTAAGTGACGTCATGGTTATGACCTCATGGTCCTCATCTCCTGCCTGAACGTTCTTTCCACTTTTGTCCCTTGCCTGTCCTTTTCCCACCATACATCACGATGAAAAGCCTGGCTCTGATTTCTTAGCTGCCTGAGAGGTACTGAAATGCTCCTACGAGGTTTCCCGAAGCCTTCTCATCTCCATACTGGAGAGTGTTCCCTCAGCCTTTCCTCAGGTGGGAAGCTCTCCAGCCCCCTGCACATCTACACATGCCCGACTGTATTGGTGCCTCTTCACTGAGCTTGCTCCAGTTGATCAATGTCCTTCCTGTACTGGGGGCAGGAGGCCCCAAACTCAGTGCAGTACTGGGCATGTGGTCTAGCAAGCACTGAATGGAAGGGGAGAATCCCTCCCCCTCATCTCCTGGCCATGCTCCTCCTCAGACAGCCAGGATGCTGTTGGCTTTCTGGGTTGCCAGCCGTCACCGCTGACTCACGTGCAGCTTGTTGTCCACCATGACCCCCAGGGCCTTTT